CTCTGTAGTCAACCACAAAACTATCAGATGAAAACCACATTTAGATAAGCCAATAACGGTGAGAAAATGACACCATTCTGAGGCTGATGGATGTAAGAAAGCGCACCCAATATTTGTAGGAGGTGTATAATGATACATAACTACAATCTATATATCATGCAATTGGCATTTACTGATGTTTTTAGTCTCTTGACTGGCCAGAGCAGTGGATCAATAGGGTTAGGGGTTCATTGCTGAGTTTTCCAACAAAACTCAGTTGACTTAGGAGTCTTCATCGCCACTACATTTAAAGGTTTATATGTGGCACCAAAGATTGAGAAATGGCTGGACTTTTTCCCAAATGGAATATCTCAAGGGGCCTAGTCAATTTTTCATAGAATTATGGAATGAATACTCAGGCCTTGCTTTTTTTCAATGTCCCCTGGGCTTCTCCAGTACTAGTTCAAAACAGGTGCCAGTTATCCATTCTTACCCCTCCAATAACTGTAAAGTAAAATAAACGCTCTGATAAGAAAGGGCTTTATAATACCTTTTCCTTCAAGTTCAGTAGCATAAGTATTTTTTACTTCATATAATAAATATCCCAGTGGTGATACATTGACTTACATAACAATTCTAATGATTGTTCTTTATTTCTCTGTCATTGATATTAATAGTTGCTGAAATTTTCAGCACTGGGATCAGAGATGATTTCTTGATCACATGTTTAATAGTACCCATGACTTTACTTTTTGAGACCTAGAAATTAAAGTATTATTTATGTATTAAAAACCAAATTGAAAAACATTGGTTAGTTTAATTGACAGCTTAGATTTCTTTTATGGTTCAGAAGCATTGAGTCTCTGTGGCTCAGCCTCTGTGGCACAGTCGGTAACATATCAGAGTGTGGGAGCTGCAAGCCACATGCTGATCATGGTTCAAATCCCTGGCCAGGTTGGCCAGGAAACACTATGTGTACATGCCCAGGATCCTGGTTGGAGCATTGGAGGAAGGGGGATCACGGCATGACCAAGTCCTCTAGAGAGCCCTTCTTCCTGTCCATTCCTTCTTTTATGAATGGAAAAATAAAGCAATCACTATTGCTTTGGAGAAGGCTATTGTTTTCTCCTGCCTCAGTTTCCCTTGCCTGATGCCGCTCAAAGTTTAAACTTTTTAAAAATGTTGCTGTAAAATGAAAAGGACTTCACATTCAAAAATAAACTTGAAATAAACACAAATTCTACCAGGACCAGACACAAAAATTGTTTATATTGAAGACCGTCTTAAACTGCAATAAGTAAATACTTCTAGATTTTAAATGATCTGAAAGCCATTGCTAAAATGTTGTTTCTAGTTATAGATGTAAACATCTGACACAGTTCAAGAGGAGGAAAATCACTTTCTCTAACATTAAACATGGATTCAGTTTAAGTAAATTATGTTTATTCCATTCGTTAAAAGAAAACTTGGAGTTTACTCTACTCCAGTAGGCCCATGACTCACTTCCGAGTTAGTCGGAGATCTCCTTCAGAGACAGGTAGGTATGTAATATGTCTAGTTGTGCTGCAGCTTGTAATTTGTGATGAGGTAAGATGTTTAGTCAGTGAAACCTCATTTAAAAGCATTTTTAGTGTCTCTTTAGACAAGGCACATGAAAAATACAAGCAGCATGGAGTTTAAAACCATTTGTTTTTTCTAGAGAAATAAAATCATTCCCGTAATTTTCTAAATATTTTACCCAGAAAGCAGCTGAGGTTTGGACTTTGGACATAAATGCAATTTTCATGTGAATGCTGCATGTGGGTTTTTATTTATTTATTTATTTATTTATTTATTTATTTTGTAGCTGTAGTATTTGGATAGCATCAAAGTTTATAATCACTAGGACCAGCAGTTGGTTAATGGCTATGTCACTGGACTCCCGTGTAGTTAACTGCAGTTCGAGTCCCGGACCTGGTGGCTTAAACTTATGCTGGGTGCGTGTGTGTGTGCCAAAGATTCCAAGAAGAGAATAGAGGAGAAGAGATTGTGGCTGGGCCATCACCCTGGGGGGTGATTTTTTGCTTTCTGTTTCTCTGTCTCTCTGTGTCTTTCTAGTGAGCGCACATGCCTTATAGCAAAAAAAACTCTCCAAAAAATTAATTAATTAATTAATTAATTAAAAGTTTATAATCGCTAATCTCACTTATTTCCATCACTACGTGAATACTAGCATTTATACTGCTTTGCATCTCAGGCATCTTGAATTTGAATAAAATGATGGAAATTGCTTCGAACAAATATATGTTGGTCACAGACACAGAAACTCCCTCAGGCAAATACTGCACCTCCCTTGGCAATCTCATTTTCCAAACAATGCAGAGCCTACAAAAAGGAAATGGGGGGGGGGACAGAATAATGATTAACAGAAATAAAATTACAGATAGGTTAGAGGACTAATTTCTAGTATTATAAAATTTAATAGGGTGGATATAGTTAATGACACTACGTGCATCTCAGAATTGACTAAAAAGAGGCATTTGAATGTTCCTAACAAAAGTAATGGCAAGTGCTTGAGATGACAGATACGCACTAATTACTCTGATTCAATCACAGCAAATTGTATTCTTGTACTGGAAAATCATCGTGTGTCCCACAGATATGTTCAACTGTTACGTTTTTCAGTGTTTGTTGTTATTTATGGTAGAGAGTGGGTGTTTACGCTTGCAAGAGAAATAGAGAAGCAACTTTGGCAGGTCTTATCTTGCCACAGTCCTCCTTCTTTCCCCCACAACACACACTGCCTGTAACTCTTCAGGATCTTGAGCATGTATGTGTGTCCAGTGGTTTTCAGGTTGACCCAGGACTCTGAACCTGTTGTAGCCATGTGGCTTCCAGCACTGCAGTTCAGTATGCTACCAAGTGCTCCTCCAAGACCAAACCACTAGCATGTGTTTATAAAAAACAAACAACTTTTTGTATAAAGGGAGTGGGAATATGCACAATACATTTTTAAAATATGGAGAATGAATTTATTGGACATATGGAGAAGAGACTCCATGGGTACGTGTACTTAATTAGCAAAGGGTCTTTTTCTCTTGCTATTTAATTAAATTCTAAAAACAGAGTACTTTATACTGTAATGATTAGGGATTGATTTTATTAATCTCCAAAATCAGACTTTGGAGTTTAGTAAATCCTTCTTTTAGAAAAAACAGCCTTTGGGGTTACCAGTGTGGTTCTGTTTTCCTTGCTGGGCTACATTTGATAGGAACCTAACAGCACCTACTGGCAGATCCCATTCCCAGGCGATGCAATATGGCAGATGGTTGGTAGGTGCTACTGAGGGGAAGTCAGGGTTTCCAGGAGATGATGTCTTATCATGCAGTATTTCAGTCAAGCTCCACATAAAATGCCCCAGGGTCTTACCAGGATACTTTTTGTAACATTTCAGAACCCATATATGTTTATTAGTGATGTTAATAATTAGTAAATATTGTTAAATAATAATAATACAATAGCAACAAATGCTTCTACAATGTTTATTATTTAGGGCATAAGAGTCTTTCTATTAAAAAAAATATTTTTCTTTCATGAGAGACAGAGAGAAAGAATAAGAGATAGAGAAAGAAAGAACAGCATGTCCAGCATGTCTCCTACTTTGATCCTCCCACCAGCCTAACCATAGCCAGCCAGGATGATGGGCACTCACACATGTCCTGCATGCACAGGTCCAACCAGGAACCCAGTCCTCATCTTCCATATGGTTCGGTCTTGCAGAGCATAATGCCCCTGTGGCTGGGTCCCTATGAAGTTTTCTAAATGCATGTATTTATTTTTGTCATGGTAAAATAGACGTAACACAAAACTCACCATGGTAACTATTTGTAAACGGACAATGCAATGGCATTAAGCACATTGGCCTAGTTTTGCAACTGTCACCACCATCCAACTCTAAAACTTTACTCATCTTCCCACACTGAAACTCTGTACCCACTAAACAACTGCCTATTCCCTTCGTTCCTCCAGCCCCTGGTACCACCGTTCTATTTTCTGTATCTGAAAGTCTGACTACTCTATGTACCTCATATAACTGGAATCATGCAGTATTTGTCTTTGTATAACTAGGTTATTTCACTTAATATAATGTCTTCAGGGTCCTCCATATCATGGCAGGTGTCAGAATTTCCTTCCTTTTTAAAGCTGAGCAATATTCCATTGTATGTATACAGCACATTATGTTTATCTAATCATCTACTAATTGACATTTGGGTTGTTGCTTCCTCATATGATTTTTATATATTAACTCCTTTAATCCTCACGAGGATTCTGTGGTATAGGTATCTTTATTATCCTAATTTTATGAAAAGGCTAAGCATAAAAAGATTGTGCATGTGATCACATTTATGCAGTGAGAAACCTCAGTGTTCCACCCCAGGGAGTACAGATCCTCATTCTTGCTCTTAACTGCTATGCTATCCCACCTCCTCTTTCAAATGATTTAGAAGCTGAAAAAAATCCAGTACCAGTTAAAAATTCATTTCTGTAATACTCTGAAGCCAGGTTTTGACTTGATTTATACAGGTTTTAAAAGTTCCAAGAAATAGTGACTTTAACAACTGAACCCCATAGTAATTGATTTATAAAGGATTCCATTACTGCAAAATAAAAAAAAAAAATTAATGCTCTAGTCTGGTACCAATCCTGGGCTAAGTTCATTTAATTAATCCTCTCATAATGCATGTGTGTGTGTGTGTGTGTGTGTGTGTGTGTGTGTGTGTGTGTAGAAGCATGGCTATATTGCTATCCCTATGTTATAAAAAGAACTGAGACATAGTTGGTAGTAAGTTAGTTAATTATTCAAGGACATACGGTAAAAAACAGAATCTATACCCACACCCAAGTACTTTTTAACTCCAGGGCCTCTTCTCTTAACTATAGCCCAAATTTTATGTTTTTCTCATCTCCATGAGGAACATGAAGTGCAACTTTGAGATCAGTATGGAACAATTATCCTTCCTATAGAGGCAAATTTTCCTAGGATGCCTGTAAATAACAAGCAAATTTATCTGCCAGGAGACAAACCTCTGCATTATTGAAGTCATTTAATATAATTATTCCAATTAGCAAATCTGAAACCAGAATGAAATTGCTTTGTTAAAATAAAAAAATCAACTGCTTATAATACTTGGCTTTTGGAAAATTGTACTTGTGTGAATGTGCCAAGCTTCTTAGAGCAGAAACATCTCTGAAAACAGCAGCTTTCTTTTCACTAAGAGATGAACTGTAGACTTGTGAGCCTTGGGCGAAATTGTGACTTCAACACAATTCATCTTCCTTTTACCCAGATTCTTTTCTGGTTTTCATTTCTACTTGTTCCATGAGTATAATCTCTTGCCCCATTTAGCATTGCTCAGGATCCTTAAACTCAAATGTCCCTCTCCTGAAACAAGTACTCATAATTAAACTGAAAAGACGCTGAGATCTGATGCACACTTTTTTTTTTCCCCCAGCAAGGCTGCTGTCTACAGATGTACAGGCTAACTGCATTACAGGACACATGTTTCAGGGTTCTATGGGGACGTGACAGTGACCATCTTCTTGTTTCTCACAGAGCTCCAGGACAGCACGGTCCGAAGAGGACCGGGATGGCCTCTGGGACGCCTGGGGTTCATGGAGTGAGTGCTCACGCACCTGCGGTGGAGGCGCCTCCTATTCACTGAGACGCTGCCTCAGCAGCAAGTAAGTCCTGCCCCCTCCGGTGTCTTTACAGGGACCTTAGCCGGCAGGTGTGAGCCATACTTCTGTGATTGGGGTTCTTCAGAGCATTTTGTTGGTCACAAGTCCAAGCACAGAAAAGGAAGGGAAGGAAGGTACACAGAGTGAAATCTGTGGCTTTTCTTATGTCCATCTTCAGGTGGCTATTTATATACTCGTATAAATAATATAGAATTCATCTCAGTTAACCAAGCTAATTTTATCTGTTTCTATGCTGTTTCTAGGAGGAAAATGTATTATTAGAGATGGTTCTAGAATCATTACCTTTCTGATAGACATTTATGTCACTTTAATAGGGATGCAGTCTGAAAAATGTGTCATTGGGTGATTGCATCATGTGTGAACTCAAGAAGTTCATGCAAAGTAGAATTAAAGTATGAGTTCATTTTGTTGAAAAAATTTTGAAATTCATGCTTAGTTTTTGTGTCATACACATTTCCATGAACTTTTTGAAGACCTCGTCTATGCATAGAAAAGATACCATAAAAATATGGTATAAAAGATGTTACAAATTGGGCCCTGGGCCAGCAGGTGTGTGGTAGTTAAGGTGCTGGACTACCTACCACATGGCTGAGCACAGTTCAAGTCCGAGAATTGGTTACTTGCTTTCTCACTTTCTCTCTTCTCTCTCTGTCTCTATCTCTTTTTCTCTCTGGTGAGGTCATGTGTCCTACAGCATATTCAAAACTAATAATATTGGGTTGTTGGGAAGTCATGACTTTTTTTCCCTATGTTTTTCTATGCAAAAGTACTCATGACTTTTCTGACAACCCAAGAATAGGGGCTGGCAGGTGACATGGTGGTTGAGGTGCTGGCCGACCATGAGGTCCTGGACCTGTCAGCTTGCTTGCTTTCTTGTTTTCCCTCCCTCTCTCTCTGGTCAAATTTAAAAATTATAATAATAATAATATATATGTATTTCTTTAAAAATAATTATAGTAATAATAAATAAAATTAAATAATTCTATTAAATTTTTTTTTTATAAACTGAGCCCAGCTGTTTTGGTCCAGGCAGTGGGAGTGATGCCACATGATGGATGCTGGAGCCTTATAGGAAGCCTCCAGGTTCACATCTCACATCTCCCTGAGCATGAAGGCTGGGCCCTGGCTGGCTACAGGGCTTAGAGGTGGGGTCCTGTCTGCGC